TGTGAGCTAGGTACGAGTTTTCCATTCATCCATTTTCTGATCCGCTTATTCCTCGCAAGGGTCGCGGGAGTGCTGGAGCCTATCCAAGCTGTCTTCGGGCAGTAGGTGGGGGACACCCTGAACTGGTTGCCAGTCAATCGCAGGGCACACAGAGACGAACAACCATCCATGCTCACACCCACACCTAAGGACAATTTTGAGTGCTCAATCAGCCTGCCGTGCATGTTTTTGGAATGTGGGAGGAAACCGGAGTACCCGGAGAAAACCCAAGCAGGCCCGGAGAGAACATGCAAACTCCACACAGGGAGGATTGCCTGGAATTGAACCCAGTACCTCTGCCCTGTGAGGGCAGAGGTACTGGGTACGAGTTTTCTCTTCACTAAAAAAAGACCATTGTCTGAAAAAAGAAAGAAACCTTAAAACAATAACAGCAAAACAGATTAACTCCAGAGCACAGTCTGGCAGGACCTGCTGTCGACCACAGCTCACACCCAGACCCTCACACGCACAGACGCACCAATGCCTCGCTGGGGAAGAAAGTCAGTGCGTATAGTCAAAAGTAGCAATCAACTGACATGACAAGACAAGCATAATGCAAGTGGGAGGTGCACGTTTGATTCATGCGGTGGTGGCCAAGCTCTGATCCAGAGAAGTGGCTTGCGTTGAGGCACTGCTGTGTTTTCATTTTAATGAGGCAATCAATCACCGTCGCACTTCACCGTCACTGCCTCGACAGCAAGGCGGTGGCGGGACATTAATAACGTAAATGAAACAAAACAAAGCTGTGGTACATATTCTAATTCTTTCTTGAATAGAACCTGGAGTGGTTGAGTTATGAATAATGTCTTGCAAATGTAAAGCAGAAACTACAAAATGGAACAGCAAATGAAATCACCTATGAAGGGGTTTGGCTTCTCGGTGCAAAATAAGCAACACGGTTGAATAGATGAGCTGGTCCCTTACCGAGGATCTGTTTGCCATGGGTGACCCTACCAGTGGCATAAAGCCCCAGACAACTTAGCTCCTAGGATCATTAAAATACAAAGCACAGCTCTTCGACTCCGATAATGAACGGAAACATAGGAAGGGGTTTTCCCTTGCCCGGACACGGGTCTCCCTCATTCTGCTTGGGGACTTCAATGCTCATGTGGGCAATGATGGTAAGACCTGGAAAGGTGTGGTTGGGAGGATTGGCACCCCCGATCAGAACTCGAGTGGTGTTTTGTTATTGGACTCCCGTGCTCGTCAGGAGGGGGGAAGCAGTGCGCCATTAACACTGTCTATGATTACTATGAATCTGATTAGGATGCTTCCTGGACACCTCCCTAAGTGGTAGAAAATGAATGGATGAATGGATGGTTGGATTAAATAGAAATTTCTTACAGAAATTAATTTAGGAAGTATATCAGGGCTGGGCGATTATGGAAAAAATGACAATCACAATTATTTTGATTGATACTGAAATCATGATGAATAAAATTTTTATTTGTTGCTTTCAAACCTTAGCATCAATTTCTAAAACTCAACTATTTAAAACTACCACCATAGACTCATGGCCATTCATCCCTGCACGTTGAACACTTTATTATTGATTCCTTGCAAATATAACAGGCCGTTCTGCACATTCATAATTTTTCTTCGATTAGAATGTTTTCAAGATGCCAAAATGGAAATCACAAGATGGAAAAAAATGACAATCACAATTATTTTGACTGATACTGAAATCATGATGAATAAAATTATTGTTGCTTTCAAAACTTAGCATCAATTTCTAAAACTCAACTATTTAAAACTACCACCATAGACTCATGGCCATTCATCCCTGCACGTTGAACACTTTATTATTGATTCCTTGCAAATATAACAGGCCGTTCTGCACATTCATAATTTTTCTTCGATTAGAATGTTTTCAAGATGCCAAAATGGAAATCACAACTGAAATTCAATGAATTGCTCAGCCTAAAAGTATAAGCTAATGTAAATACACGCAATTTACAAAACACAACATACACAATCCACTACAAGGAAACGGTGTCACTTTGCACGTCTTCTTGTTGCCTCCACATTACGTGTCTGTTAGGCATCTACAAAGGGTGATTAGTACTTAATTTGAGTCTTTTTTCCATGTTACACATTCGTTAACCTTTTGTTATGCTTGTTTGACAGGAAACAGTGATAACAAGTTCTATACACATCACAAAAATAAACAACTTAGGAGCCAAACATCTCCTCGGAACAGTTCGCCTTTTGCTATTTTTTTGGGAAAAGGCATCCTGATTTGAGTATTTTATTCCAAAGGAAAATGATTTCAGATAAATAGCTTGAGGGTGAATAAATATAACTGCAGGACCAGCTTATTAATATCCACACATTAGCCAGAACATCTGCTTCTGTTGTCGCTGTCATGTCTCATTGGCTACAATTGGGGCACAGCGACAAACACAAAAGGAGAAAACAAGAAGAATTCATAGTTGAGTGCAGACCTCCGCCACGGCCCAGCAATTCTACTTGAATTGGTACCCATCTTTTAACTTAAACAGCAGCAATACAGCATTTAAAAAAGCTAGCACAGAGACCAACACCGGCACGAAAGTAAACTTTTCACTATGTTAACAAAAGTGACTAAAATATCGTTGAACCACACTTTTATGATAATACAGTTCATACTATTTTCCCCCCCAACCAACGAACAGATGGTGTTGAAAAATAACCTTAGAACGCTGCAATGAAAGATCATGCATTTGCATGACGCATGTACAAGCAGATTCCAAACGGGGCTCTTAATTGTTGGATGCTGATTGTCTCACTACTGTGCTGCTGACGTGCACGCGTCATCATATAATCGTTCCATCGCATCTCCGCCCCCTGCGAGAGGAAGCTTCCCGCAGCGAGATCAGCAGGCCCGAGGAGGAGCAATTCAGGCGGCTGCATGAATCTTTAATCAGTCCCCCTCTATACTTAGGCCGTCTCCAGTTTCTGACATTTAGCTGAAATTCGCCCTTTGTGCCGGTGGATGTGAAAAGCCAAGGTCACCGAATGGATCCAAATTTGCCTGCTTTTGCTCCGATGTGCAGTTTTGGAGTTCTGGTGTGGTAGCAGCGACTATATTTTGGTCCACCTTTTGATGTTTTTGTGCAGGTTGAAACAGCTGATTACAATACAGCCTTTGCCTTTGTCCCTCTGGGCTGCTGCGCAAAGAAGTTGTGCTCATCGGTGTCCTCAGCTTTCATCATTCAAGTCAATGAGCCCTTTCAATGAAACCCTCCAAATGCAACCTGTCTCTTGCCTCTGCAGCAGGACGATTAAGTTCCGCTCAAATTCTGCTGACGTGATTTTATCACACAATACGAAGGGAGGGTGGTGCGAACAATAACCTTTCCTTGCTAAATGACTCGGGTGTCTTTGAATGTCATACACTGAGTACTCAAACATCTGCTCTAATGGCTGTTATCACGCTGAAGATATTTACATATGAAAACAATAATACTGAATTATTAACAGGAGCGGTCGTGACAACAAGCATATGTTTGCTTCATAATGCATGACGCGACATGCCAGCAGAGATTTGTTGAACCATATGGCATCTCAACATTTCGTATCTTGTTTTGGACATTTTGGGACTGATTGTTCGTTTCGGCAGAACATACATTTTGCTTTATTTTGTCTTGTGATATGAGATTATTTACCCCCAAGCTTAACACTTGCTGGAGTTTCCTCGAGCACACCATGAATTATTTAAAGGACATATTATGGACAATTGAGCCTTTAATTGCTTGTATGGAAATACAGTACAGTGGTACCTTGACTTAGGAGTTACTCAACTTATGACCTTTAGGAGTAAGGTGCCCTTGTTTCGTCTATTTTTTTACTTTGGGTTGTGAGTCAACATTTGAATTTCGAGTGGACTTCAGATACTACTACTTCACACTACCAAAAGGGAGAGAAAAAAAACAAAAAAACAAAGAAAAGCGGCAGGCGCCATAGCTGTTTATCACACGTAAGAAACAGTCAAACACATGAATGCAAAATGAAAACACTTGCAAGGAGCATGGAGAAGACACTAACCGAACCAACCGAGTGGTAAATAGCAAACTGGAGTGCGTGAATGCGTGTGTGTGTGTGTGTGTGTGTGTGTGTGTGTGTGTGTGTGTGTGTGTGTGTGTGTGTGTGTGTGTGTGTGCGCGTACGTGTGCATGTGTGTGTGTGTGTGGGATGGGACAGCAGAAGAGAGAATAGGAGAGAGAGAGAGAGAGAGAGAGAGAGAGAGAGAGAAAACTTTCATTTTTATACTATATAAGCAGTTTATTTCGAAACAGTCTATTTTCTTCCGTTATAAATATATTCATTTGATTTTTCTTCTTAAAAACATCAAACTAAAACACGTGGTGTTTTTGTTGGCTGAAATGGACTGATGGCATTTGATTTCATTTTCAATGGGGAAAATTGATTTGATTACAAATAAAGTGAGTTCAGAGCACAGTCACAAAATTAGTGGTTAGATTCAGTAACAGGTGGATTTTGTTTTTTAAAATCCCATAGCTAGAAATTACAACACATGGCAATCTATTGCGCAAACTTTGAGGTCAAACAAAAAATGCCAGTTTCTCAAAAACCTGATTCGCTCAGGAAAAAAAAGAGCACATTTATTTTTAAACACTTTCAGGGACAACGGTTACTATGGTGGACAGTTTATCGTGTTATCAGGTTACAAGTTATCATGATTACATGTAAGAGTTAAATCAGCATAAAAATATGCTTATTGCTTATCCCTGTACAAGACATGTGACTGCTCCATAATGATGTATGGGTCTACTTTTATCTTATGCTTGATTTGTGACAAATTTGTTCTACCCGTTCTTGACTATAAGCAACATTTCTCTCTTACAGTTACGCAATCTTTGGTAACGCAAGATTTATTTATTTATTTATTTATGTGAACGCAACTCTCGCACAACATCCACCAGGATAGGCTGCAACTCGCCTGCGATAGTGAGCACGTTCTATAAAATGGTACGGATGGCAGTGTCAGTCACACTTACTGTGGTAAAGTTCTCCGGCCCACAGTCTTTGCCTCTGTATTTGCAGTCGAGCAACATTTCCTCGATGTTATGGCTGGTTCTCTGCACAAATTCCAGCATATTAAAAGTCTTGCTCGGAAAAAACTTGCTGTTGTCCGTAGGCTGCCCTAAGGCAGCCATGAAGTCATCGAAATCCCCTTGCTCCACACCCAGTAGCCCTGCCATCCAGAAGATATCATTCCTGCGGATTTGGGACTTCCGGAAACTGTTATAGTTACACAAGGTGATGGCGGGAAAATACATGATGGGACTGTCCATCTCATCCAGGATGGTGACATGAGGGTACCGGTAGTATTCGATCACACGGTCGGCCACTTGGTAGAGGAAGATGGAGAGGGAGGAGCTGAATGCAGCGGCCCAAAGCAGCCGTCGGAGGGTCACCCCGCCAGGTAGAAAAATATGGCTCAGACCATGTAGGGTACAGTTGGCTCCAAACACCGTTATATCCGATGCCGGACGTGGCGCGTCTTCTTCCTGTGCTCCCATTTTCAAGCGTTGACCAGGGACGGTCTTTCGACAACGGCGGCCCACTGGACACTAGTCCAAGCAGAATGGCGCAGTCAACACAAATGTACAAGGGCTGGGCGGGATCGGCTCTGATTTCCCCTTCACACCCAAAGGAGGGGAAGAGGTTGGATATCCAGAGTGCGGAAGAGGCTGTGGGTCTCTTATACCAGCCAATCCATACGAAGATCTCAGGTTGTAATTGATAGTGTTTCACTTGGGAAGCAAAAGCGGATCCTTCACTAAGTTGACCGGAATGCGCTAAACATGTAACTACAAAAAGTGAAGCATATTCAGTTCTAGGGACTCTCACTATTATTATTATTATTATTATTATTATTAGTAGTAGTAGTAGTAGTAGTAGTAGTAGTAGTAGTAGTAGTAGTATGGTCGACTGGTTAGCACATCGGCCTCACAGTGCAGAGGTGCAGGGTTCAATTACCAGCTCCAGTCTTGCTGTGTGGAGTTTGCATGTTCTCCCCGTGCCTGTGTGGGTTTTCTCTGGGTACTCTGGTTTCCTCCCACATTCCAAAAATATGCCATGACAGGTTAATAGAACACTCTAAATTGTCCCGAGATGTGAGCGCAGATGGTTGTTTTGTCTATGTGTGCCCTGCGATTGGCTGGCAACCAGTTCAGGGTGTCCCCCTCCTCCTGCCAGAGGACAGCTGGTATAGGCTCCAGCACGCCACACGGCCCTTAAGAGGATAAAGCGGATCGGAAAATAGATGGATGGATGGATTATTCTTATTCTTATGATCATTTTCCACTTAGATTTAAGAGAGAATCAAAGGACACAAACCAATTTAAAAGCCGGATGAAAAACAAATGACCTTCTGGAGATATGACAATGTGTGGTACTGTATTGGCATCAAAACAGCACTCTTCACATGAAATTATTGTCCACCACTAATTGGCTTCTAGGAAATCTGGATGGAAGTGGTTGGGTTACAGACAATTCCGGGTTTGATTAGACTTATTGCAGCTTTTGATAGGGGTGAAACTAGCACCCTTTCATTCAATCAAAGCTTATTGTCAGAATATTAAACGTGTCAACTTCCCGTCAATACCTCCTTGACTTATCCTTTAAATTGACAGAAAATATCAACTGGTGTCTTACTGCTGCGTTGTACCTTATGAATGTGTCCAAATGCATACAGTTCAACATTAAGACGAGAGGCATATATTTGCCGGGTGAGTCGATTCCGATTAACAGTCTCAATCGATCTCAACTACTGTTTAGAACGATTGTCTCGCCGCAATTTTTCTTGAGCATCACTTTAAGAAGATAATTGATGGTCGCCCCGTCAATGACGTTTGAGGTTAATCTGGATAACATATCCTCTTCTGTCTTTTTACACCACTGTTAAATGTGTCTCCATTACTTCCTGCCTCAGCTCTCATCTTCAATTAGTGTCAGCCTTTCGGCTGAGGTGTTTGCATTACCATTCCACTGGTTAAGGATTTTTATTATTATTTCCAGAAGCTCTTTGGTGGTGGTAGATCTTCATCATATTTGGATTGGTCTGTCCGCAGATGTCCACATCCGAGGACATTATACATCAACAAAACCAGATCTGAAGCAGTTGAAAATAGCCACTGAAATAAAAAAACAGAAGCCAATACAATAAATTGTTTTATAGCTAATGGATTAAATTGCTTCGGTTCCTCTTTTAAGTTGGCAAAGGGAAAGCAGAGTGCTGAAAGAAAAGTAGCTTGAAAAATATAACGGCATAAATGAGACAGAACTAGCGCCCAACGTTGATCGTAGTCTGCGAAGGTGAGCTGACTTTATTCAAAAGGTGAGATAGTTCATTCAAACAACTTCCTGCTCTCCGCACATTTGAACTGCAAACCTCATCTGAACTTGAGAGAGCGCTTCCAACTCAGTTCGCAGCCATAAGCAGACTTCGCCCTGTCAGATTCTTGTCTTATTCCTGTCAGGCGCAGGCTAGCCAATGCAAACATTTCCCGATCTATTGTACTATAACGTAACAATAGCCAATAAGCAAGCGAAATGAAGCTCACGTTGGTGCCAGACACAAATATATGATGTACTGTAAATATGACATCAGTACCAATAGAGTTTGAACGTAAGTACTGTCTGAACCAATGTCAGCAGATGTTTGATGTTGTTTTTTCCCCTTGTGAGCACTTCGAATGTAATTAATAATTTCACAGAATGTTCAAGGCAAATTGCATTTTAATCACTAAAATGCGGAGCATTTAGCAAGTGCGTCAAGTTAAGGCATGCCTAATGTCCTGTCTTGAGGAATTAGCATTTGAGTACCCGGTGCTTTCGGTGTGGCCTGGAAGGACTTTTGATGGCAAGACGCATGCCTCCATGACAGATTACATATATATAGATATCTATCTATCTATCTATCTATCTATCTATATATATATATATATA